TACTTTTGACAATCCATAATGAAGCTGTTCTTGTGTGGTTCAACAAATTTCATGTACTAATTTTGTTTACCAGTGTTAGAACACAAGAATGAACTATTAAATATACAAAATACACAAGAACAGCTTCATTATGGATTTTCAAAAGTAAGCTATCGCTAGCCATAATGACTCAGATGTCCTCTGACTATTATGATTTATAAGCACAATCTATCACTTTTATACAGGATTAAAGCTAAAAGGTATAAAATGAAATCTAACAGAGATATTATCTACTAAAATTACATTGCAGTCAATGGTAAAAGTCAAGCATAAGCCTTCTATGACATCACGTTTAGCCACACCCCTTGACAGGATGTAAAATGGCAGGAAGCAAAATGAGCAACTTTGAAGGCTCATATCTCTGTGAATAATTTTTTTCAGACAATAAAACTTTCCAAATAGTATTTTTATGATAATATGGTCATGTTAGGTCAATAAAAAATACCCCAAAAAATCATGTCAGTTACACTTTAATTTTCATGAATTTATGCCCTCTGCCATCTTTTACCATAGTAATTTGATTTTCGGGAAAGTAAATTTTGCAAATCTTTAAAAATTCATAAATCCACAAAATTTACAGCTTTGCAAGCTTCTTCTCCCCAGCACTACTCTTTAAACATTTTTATGTGATAAATGAAGGATTACATTAGCAATGAAGATGGATCTATGATCTATACGAGGATCTATAAGCCTAGAGAACTTGCCCCCAGCCCCCTTTTCCTACACCTATGAACAACCTTTCTCTGGATACACACTCACATGCATCATCTACGGAGCTGAATTGCTCACCTTCACTGGTACTGGTATGCAATGTTGAGGGTGTGGCTTCCATTTCACTTCGGCTTCTTAACATGCCAATAGATCTATATCCTAAATGATGAAAGATACATGTAAGAATTCATTTACAAATATTGATTTTACTTACTTTGTCTTTCTTCATTAATGCCATCAGCTACAGCATTCTCTCCTGTTCCTCTAAGAGCAGCTATCAGTGTATCTATTGTTGGATTCTCTACTCTATCAGCTTTACGCAACCAGCTAGCCAAACACTCCGTAAAACAAGAATGAACGTCTCTGTGGTCGTTCTTTATAGTCTCTAGTGTATTTTGAGATAATTTAAGACGTAGACCAAGTCGATCATATGATGTCTTGCTGTAGTGATGTCTTTCAAGTAAAAAAATCACATCATCAAGATCCTGGATGCCTATGGCAACCACATAATAAGAATAATTCTAATGGTTTCAATCCTGAACTCACTTAAGGTCCTTTCACTCAGCAGAGAGGAGGCGAGTTCCAAAGCCATTTTAAGGCGGGCCGGGCCGCCTTTCTCGCGACGCCTACACAGTAACACAGCCACCCGGTTAGCGCATTATTCCTGGATAGTTGTCCGGAGTTAGGTGTAACTGTTCCTGGAAACTATCCATAGGGATAGACACTATGAATAATAAGTAGTTTAGCTTAATTAATGAATAAGGGGGAGGGATGTCAAGGAGCTATGGAGGCTCACTCAGGAGCTCGCTCAGGAGGCTGAAAGCCTGAAACATCAAGAAAGGCAGCTCAGTGGATCATGGTTTTTTAAATCACGAAGTGGATGGAGTACTGGTTAGTATCTAGTAGGCTTACATGTATATAAACATTATCCAGTAGTCAATTACTGAATATATATAATCCATTACTATTAGTCGAGCTATTAGTACTTATGGTTGCAGTACAAGTTGCAGTTAGTCTTTAACTGTTCATTTGATATTGTTCCTTAGTCCTTGTCCACGCATACTATGTTTTTACAGTTGAAATAATAATAATAATAATAATAATAATGGTCTCAGGGCCGTCCTACTGCTATGGACGTTACAGTTATCTCTCCCCTCCAACAGCAGACTATTACTAATTCTGCATCTTCTCAGGGTTCTGCTTTATTGGTGGCCGAACACCGCAAACGGGTTGTCCATTTTGATAATTGTCATCGCATTGGGGTTGATTTTGTTCCACTCGCTGTTGAGTCTCTCGGGGGTTGGAGTTCCACTGCTATTTCTATCTTCCGGGCTTTCGGTCACCATCTTGGAACTCGGTTTGGTCTCCCTCCCTCTGAACCCACTCTCCATCTTTTTCAAAGACTGTCTGTGACTTTGTGGCGGTCCAATGCCCAGATGTGGTTGGGTAGATCTTCCATCTTGTCTCCTGAGGTGGATGGTCAACTGTAGGACTTTTTGTTTTTATTTTGTGTTTTGTTTGTGGTTTTTCTTTTCCTGTTTTTTTGTTTTGTCCCTGATTTTCTTTTCTCTATGGGCTTTCCCTTCTCTGTCTCTTTTTTGTCTTCTGCAGTGTGTCTGATTTTGTTATAATAATAATAATAATAATAATAATAATAATAATAATAATAATAATAATAATAATAATAATAATAATAATAATCAATGATGGAACCTGTTTATAAGTATAGATAGGTTGCAGCAGTGATGATCATTATTATTATCATTATTATTATTATTATTATTATTATTATTATGATTATTATTATTAT